CCATTAATTTTTCCTGTTTGATGATTTCAGACTACAACTATATGAACATCTTGAAAAATAGCAGCATGACTATCAGTCAACAAACTATCTAAATACATACATGGAGGATAGCCATCAATCTAAGGACATGTTTGTACTGACTTCGACCGTTGAAACTGAATGGTATAACAGCAGTAGCAAGTTCACTTATGAGAAAGCGGCCATTGTTAAGCATGCTTAATGAATATAGGGTTAAGCGAGCATCTGAAAAGATGGAAAATAGAGTATGAGAAAATCCAATCACTAACTACAAACAAACATATATTCTACTCACTGATAGATAAGATGCTGTACACTCTGATCTTTGTCGCAAGATTTAATAAACAATCAAGATGATTTCGTAATATTGTAATTAAATTCAAAATGTCCGTTCGCATAGTTTTCTTTGTATCGTCCGCAATATGCTTATCATTCACATTATATAGAGGACCTGCTACCTCCATGTGAAATATATCTAAACCGTCAGACACTCTCGTTCCTTTAATGTCTACTTTTACAATTCCAGAATTAGTAGATGACTTTAGAATCTTTGCGGCATGAGCATACGACTCAATCCAATCAAATTCAACTAAAGAAAATGTTCTCTCATAGAATTTGAATAATGAAGAAATTTGGTACACTATGTGTTTACATTCACCAATCTCTCTGCTCATAGAAGAATTGATATCTACGAGGTGGAAACTAAAAAGTGTCGTTAGTGTAGCTGTCAGTATCACCTTTGATAAATAATATATTAATTTCTACCTACAAATCAATGAAAATTTTTTCGCAATATAATCTAAAAAGATCTTCCTCATCTAATACTTTAGTCTGGGCTTTGTTTTTAAAAGTTTCTTCATTTCCTTCAATGACAATATTAATATAACCTTCCAATACCATTGTCCATACTTCAGGATTAACATCTCACATAGTTGATAGCTCCCTAACGACTTCTTCTCCTACTACTTCTGCTAAATTTTCAATTGCTTTATCGAATGCATATACGATAGAAATTTTTTGGGTATACCTATCATGCAAATAAAACAAATATTAATATTGATATTTTCTATTTACAAAAATGGTAATTAGAAAGCAAAAAAAAAAAAAGACTTACTGTTGAAATTCCTCTTTTTCAAATGGTCTCTTGTCAGGTGTAGTTTTTAAAGACTTTAGATTTAGATCTCGGAAAGTTTGCGGTGGAGTTCGCAGAGTTCCTGAAGTTCGTGGTGTTTCTGAAGTTCGTGGTTTTCCTGAAGCTCGTGGTGTTCCTGAAGCTCGTGGTGTTCCTGAAGTTCCCACAGATAATAGAGATTCTGACTGCAAGTGAGTTTGAAAGACATCTGTTTTTGCATTAAGGCTTACTGTTTCCTGTAGGGTGATAATGTGTTTAGTTTTATGTTAAAATAATTATGGAATGCATGTATATTCAACCTACCTCGACAGTATTATGGAAAGTAATCGCTTGCTTGTGTAGTTTTTCAGTTGAAAAAACATTAAAACACACGGTTGTTATTGCTAATCCTGCATCAGACTATGATAATTGAATTCAGTTATATAAATATTCGTGTTGTTATATATTATTTTATTATTAATCAACATTTCTAATGAGAAGTTATGCAATCAAAGGAAGGAAGAGTTTATGTACATT